TCCGAGGCTGTGAATCTTTATGGGAGCAGAAAGCCTCATCTTTCTCCCATGGAGTGGCTGGTAGCTTTGAAGTGCTGACCTTGTTGTCACAGCCCGATTCGTAACCACTATACTACCAGAGCTCCGAAAAGCGGAATCTCTTTTCAAATCCAGTATTTCTTGTGTTAGAATGTTCAGCTAATAGATTTTTAAAAGAATTAGAATTTAATAAAACAAATAACTTCAATGGAGGTATAGGAAGCAGTATGTTGTTGTGTTGTTGTTAAGTCTTGTCAACTCAGAGACCCTGTATGTAAGGAACGGCTTGTGGACTTGAACTGCCAACCTTGCAGTTAGCAGTCCAGTGTTTTTCCTACAGTGCTACTCCAGGACTCCAGAAAGCTATAATGTTGTTGTTAAGTGCCAATCGAGTTGATTCAGACTCTCAGCGAGCGTGTATAGGGTTTCTGAGGAGCGGCTGGTGGGTTTGAACCGCCAACCTTGCAGCCCAGTGCATTATCCACAACAGGACTATTGGGCACCAGAAATGATGGATTTGGAGTTGGGGAATTGGGGTTTGAAGTACAGGTGTGCAATTTATAGCAGGACAACTATGAGTAGTCATTAGACATTTATCATTTATTGCAGAAAGCACGGGGCCTGGAAGCCCTACTAACTTGGGTTTGGATACTGACTCTGCCACTAAGGTTATTAACTGCTCCAACCCTTCAATTCCTTATTTTTGGTAAGATGATGTGATCGGGGTGAGTTGTCTGTGTCACATCACTCTACAAATAGTCTCTAGACAAAACCAAATGAAGAAACTTTTTCTTTCTCCAATAAACAGAGAAGCCTTAGGTCTGTGGAAGTCTTTACTTGTGCTGAGTATGCCAATGGGGGTCCCCAACTCCATCTTTCCCTCTCCATCCTTTGATACACATGAGCAGGGCCCCCCACATGCTAAGGTACACAACCCACCCCATCCCTCCAGTCTTTTGTCAACAAGCCATGAACAAACCATACACACAGAGAAGCTGCTTTTTTTTCTTCAATTTAATTGAAGTTACTTAGAAAAATAATCAGGCTTGAATGGCTTTTCCTGGAGGAAGGTTCATGAACATTTCGCGCTTTTGTTGGCAATGTGGAATTCAGCTTTCTTTAACAGTACAGTAAGATACAGGGAGAGTTTTCTACAACCAGCCCTCTACTGCATACAAAAATGTGGAAAAAAAAAAAAAAAAAGGAAATCATACTTCACAAAGATGTTAAATTAAATGTCAATATGCCATACTGAGCATGCTCATAAGAAAATAGTACAGGCAGTCCCTTCTGTATCTGACAGAGTAGCAGACTGAATTTTTCCTGTTAATGACCAAGGGTCAGGCTGTTCTGGAAGCTTGTTGATGGGGTCTACTAAGTTGTGATGGGACTGGATGGGCTAACTTGCGGGAAGCAATGAGATCAGTCCTGCTGATGTTGAAGTGGACAAAGAAGGAATTTTGTCCATCTGGTTTGCACAGAATAGGGTGGCTTGGATGGCATGTGTAGGGGAGGTATGCTCTGGACACAACCCACCAGGGATGATAAAAGGGCCTCTCTGCTTCATTCAAGATTAGAAGAGAGACTTTTGTAACCTCTGCTTCAGCACAAGTCCAGGTGTCCCTCAACTCAGCGTGCTTGGGACTGGCTTTTGCTCTGGGGACGTTTTAATAGCTTGTGCTTCTGCTGTGGAGTAGACCCTTGTACTTCTAGGCTTTTGCAACCAGAAGGGTGGATCCAATTGTTGTGTCCACTGTCTCCTGGTCTCCTGTGGTACCCACGCCCAAAGAACAAAGGATGGGGAGGCTTACCTGGTGGGCAAGAAGGGAAGACGTTCCCTCCGAAAGCCCAGGGCTGCCCTTCTTCCCAGACCAGCTGGGGAGGGCTGAGGGGGTGCATCTGGAGAAGCTGCAGCAATTCAGAGTCTGTGACTAATAGAATTTTCCAACCAATGGGATAAAGTTATCAGGAATGTCATTGCAAATATTACCCTGACTGAGCCTGGTTTTTGAAAGACAGCGGCACCTTTGAAAAGTAACTCGGAGATAGGACCCTGCCTGGACTTTTCTCCAGTTAAGCATGTAATAGAAAGCATTTTCAAACATTTTTTTTTCTTCAAAGACCGCAAACTTTTGTTTTCCAGGCACATTTCCACCAATGAATTGTTTTTAAAAATCAAGGACACAGATTACTTTCCTGGTCCTGTAAGACAGGTGATTTTTTTTTTTTTTTTAAGTATTTATGTCATTAGAAAATAAAATGTGAACACAGAGCAAAACATGAGGAGATAGAGTCTCTTATTTCATCTTATTTCAGAAACACACTGATGGAGCGTCCATCCCCTGAAGGACAATCACTTAGTGAGAGAAGGCAGATGAAGAGGCAGTTTGCATACCACACTGAGCAAGCTTGTACAACTGATCTGAGTGAGATTCACACGGAAGCGCAAAACTCAGGAAGTCTACATGAATGTCCATTGAAAACTTGAAAAAAAGCGCAGAGTGAACGATTTTCAAACCGTGGAACTGAAGATGCATTTGTCAAGAGCTGAGATCATTCTGTTCTCAGTGAGCATCTGTTAAGACCTGGAGAGTATTGCGGGGGATGGGGGGTGGGGGTGCTCTGTGGCCTCTGCCCCTCTCCTTCCCTTCACCCTTCCCTTCCTTCCTTTCACACCTCCCAAGACTTGCTCCCATTCCATTTGGGAGGGAGGGACTCATGGTCCATGGCAGTATCCAGGATCAGAATCATTGCAGTGAAGTAAAAGTTTAATTCATTGGAGAAAGCAGCTCTGGTTATAAACCAGACAGGGAATGTGGTGCTATTTTTGTTTGTTTGTTTTGGAGAGGGGCTAGGGAGGCAATTTTTATTCTTGAACACCTAGGATGTGCTAACCTAACCAAAGTCTATCCTGAAGAACACTAGTTCTGTATGATAATCTGCAAAATAGAATATCTGGGTCACGTAAATTCAGGAAATGCTACAGATTTGGAGATGCGGTAGAGGATTCACTATGCACAGCACACATTCAAAGCTCTGAAAAGTCCTGCAGAAAGCAAATGGACTTAGCTTGCCTTCCCAACAGTTCGTGACCACAAAACCCTATATTGCTTCTCACGGATCTGATATCTCCTAGGACTAGAGTTCTGTGGGACACACATTAGGAAACACTGTACAGCTTGAAGGGTGAACAGCAGGTCTGGATCTAAGGACAACATCCCCTGCCGGGAAATAGGGTCCAACCCCCAACCCAGGGACATCCTGCAGTTTGTGACTCTACTTGGTAAAAAAACATTACATAAATTTCTGTCCATCAAAGTTAGGGTCACTGTGCCTCTACCCAGGGGCAAGAGTGTGGAAGAAGGTCTACATCGTTTTATAAATAGCTTCTACCACCCTCTTTAATGCATCCCTCACTCACATTAAATAAAACTGTTTCCTGGGTGAGATGATGAGCCTCTGCTCACCAAGCTTGCCGTGAGTCTTACAATACAACTTTAATAGTTTTCTGTGAATAAATTACTCATTTTCTGTTTGCTTAGACTATTCTTCTCGCCCCTTCACTATATAGGGAATCAAAGATAAAACAATAAGCAAAACTTACCCACCCCCCATCCCACCCCACCCCCTATTATTAGAACTATTATTATTATCATTATTTTTTTATTATTGTTATTATATACAGTATCTGCTACCGACTCATTCACTAGCTGTAAGAGGGACGTGGCTGAAATTTCAACCGAGAGCTGTGGAACAAGGCTGGAAATGAGAAACGTGTGTAGATGTTAATTAGCAAGGAACAGGGACTTGAAAGCATTCCGCCTTCACGGGGACACAGGCCTGGAAGCCTGTCCTTGCTGCTCATGCACGGCAGCTATGAGATTCAGGTGGTCTCTTAACCTTTGGAGGATTTGGAAAGATATGCATGTGAGCATGTGCCCTTGACCTTTGTGAGGGGCACACCAGACCACTGTAAAGTCCTGCCTTGGCATTTCACTCTCTTATGTGGAAAACACCACTTCTACAAGGGGATGTGAACAATGGGCTAGAGATGACAGCCGGAAGCACTTTCAAACAGTCCTGTTCCCCTTTTCTCTCCCAAGGCAGACATTGCTAATCAATCCCAGCACTCTTTCACACTGTGCCTGGCATTTACAGGCAGACACTACCACTACATTAAAGCAGGCACATGGTAGGATTCTCCCCCTCTTCTCTTGTCTTGGGTCATGAGCTTGGATCACTCACCAAATTAAGTGATCTTCTCCAGGCATGTGGTTTTCAAATTTATGCCATAAAAATGGCAAATTTTTAAAGGTCATATTTTGGGGTTGCTGTTGAATAATCAAACCTCCTGCCAAGTCCATAAATGCCAATGGTTTATTATTGACTGTCTAGTTGGATTCTCTGTGTCCATATAAAGCTTCAAGGGCAGAGGCTATGGGTCATGTCTAATGTTGTATCCCCAATGCCCAGAATTGGGCCTAGTACATAGTAGATGCTCAATAAATATTTGTTCAATATAGAGTTACAGCCACTTCACCTTCACCTCAACTGGCAATGCCAGTTGAAGCATTTTCTGTGGAAAAGCATAATGTATCAGACTGCTAATTCTGGTGAAAGAAGAAAATGCTATTATTACCTTTAGCTCTCTCTTTGGGTTAAAAAAAAAAAAATCACATTTCTTTAGTGCAAGGGACTTGTGGGACGATTACAGTTGGTTTTGAATTAATCTCTTGCAAACATGGCTCTTGCTGGATGTAAGAGCTACCTATATTTCCATCGGAATTTCAAAACCCGGTGGCATCACTACACATCACACTGTCACACAATGACACCGTGAGAAGTTAGTAAGGAAAACATCCAAGCCCCTAAATGAGCTGTAGCAAGCAAAGTACAACACAGAGATGTCTTCTGCAGAGACATTAGGATTTTGCTGCCACAACAAAACGAAACAAAACACAACTATACAGAGACCAGGTTTAAATAACTATAAATAATATTAATTAGAATTTATGGAATTCACAAATCATGGAATTCACTAGAACACAAGGAAACTGTTGAGACAGTGTTGCAGTATTCACTTCCAAAAACAAGAACACGCATCTTATTTCCCCGCAAAGACATCTATCCTTCCCTACTAAGGATTTTAAATAATTCCCACTCTGCTGCTCGCAGCATCATCTCCAAAGAAAATATTAATTTACAAAATAACCCAATATCCATATATTTTCTTTTGACAAATAAAAATCTTAAATTAAAAAGCATGATTCTCTCCCTCTTCCCCTTCACTCCCCCCAATTATTCCAATTTCAGGTAGCTTGGCACTGAGTAATTGAACATTAAAAAATCGAGTTTGTAGACTTCGTACAGCTGTGTTTGGTGCTCCGAGCTGATGTTCTGGAAGAATTCTGTGGTCACTTCATCAGTAGTTCTCGTAGACTTTGCATAGGTGGGGAACTTCAGGTAGCTGCTCACTCCTGCCAATTGCAGGACGTAATTCGAATCTTCTTCCAGCGTCTCGTACTTGCCCACGAGGTCGTAATGGATGTGGCAAGGGTGGCAGAGAGAGTAGACGGTTTGCCAGTGTTCGTTGAACGGCTCCTCCCGTTGGGTGTGCGGATCGATGAGATAGGCCACAAACTCCTCAAACTTGACATCATCCCCTTTGCGCAGGGCCTCCTGGGTGGCATTCTTGCGCTGGCGCTTGATGATCTTGGTGCCGTAGCGTTTGTGGAAGGAGGTGTTGTACTTCTGGGTGAACTTATTGCGGTAGGCCGACACCAGCCTCTCAAAGGGCTCGCGGACAAACAGGAACTTCATGTAGCTTTTCAAACGGTGGTTGATCTCTGGGATGCTGTATTGGTTCAGGGTCTTCAGGTTGGCGGAGACGTGGGCCTCGTTGGCTGGGATCTCCATGGGGTCGCTGTACTTGCCTCGACCTGTCAGCACCATCATGAGCCGCTTCCAGTTGGTACACGCCACCTTGGGCACGTAGCAGTAGATGAGCTCGTGGTCCTCATCCACCACCAAATGCTTCAGGTCGTTGGGGGTCAGCACCCGGCGCTTGCGGCTCATGGCACTGTTGGCTCGGCACGTGTCAGTGACCTGATCCCGTCTCATCTGGTGCAAAATAGCGGTGTTGGAGAGCTCCAGCTGCAGAGGGGACACAAGAGGGAGAAGAAGTCAGCACTTGTGGAGAAAGTCTCCACTAGACCACACCTACACACACGGGTCATCGAGACCATGTCGCCATGTCGAACTTTCTCTGTCAGTTGCCTCAAATATTTTTTCTTCTTTATTCTACCACATTTTCTTTAAAGAATAGTGATAAACTATAATTCATCAATCTCCTCTCTGTGTGCCAGTCATATGGACTGTATATGTGTATATATGCCAATTTTACAGTACAGCCTTAAAAGCTGTTGATTTATTTGACACTAGTAAGTACCTACTCGGTTCTGACTCCAGGGCATATCACCACCACCACCACCACTGTGCCAGGCATTGGGAATACCATAATGAAAAAGTACAACGCGGGAACTCATTTTAAGGAGTTTCCAGTCTAGCTGGAAGGACAGAGGGAACTGAGGCTCAGAGAGGTGACATTACTAGCTTGAGACCACATAGTAAGAGGCAGAGCCGATATTCAAACTTGCATCTGCCTGGTACCAAAGCTCCCACTTTCCACTCTACCTTGATGTGCTCTCATCTTCTCAACTGAAGTAGGAAGAAAGCATTGAGTTGGGGGTCTGGCATTTGATGAATCTATTACAGCGCACGGGGGCTGTTAAGTGCCATGGAGTCGATTCTGACTCATACCAACCCTGTATAGGGTTTCCGAGGAGCGGCTCGTGAGCTTGAACAGTCAACCTTGTGGTTCAAACGGACCTTGTAGTCCAGCACATTAACCCACAGCACCATGCCAAGACACCAACGGTGGTATAATTCTTGCCTTCCAGGCAGGAGACCCAGGTTCAATTCCTGGCCAATACTTTTTAAGCAGAGCCACCACCTATTTGTCAAAGGAGACTTGTATGTTGCTAATGATGCTGAACAGATACCATATTGCCAGGCATTGGTGATACTATAACTTAAAAAGTACAGTGAGGGAACTCATTTTAAGAAGTTTCCAGACTATGACAGACTAGGAAGAAAGGCCTGGTAATCTCCTTCCAAAACAACTCAGTTATGAGAACCCTAGGGATTCCAAAGGTCCAGTCTCATGGTACATGAAATCATCATGGATTAGGGGCTGACTTGACAGCAATTAACAACAACAACAGCCTACTAGAGGATGAGAGGAAGACCAAGGCAGCCCTGCTGACCGTTGCACCAACTGCCAAGCATATGTTGAAGCCACTGTGGACCTCCAGCCCCACTGAGCCCTCCAGTGACCAGAACTGGCCTCACTAGTCTGGTCTGTAGAAAGAGGCAGGTGGATTAGCAGATGGCCAGGGTTTTAGCCACTTTTAATGCTGAGCATTAAAGGAGTCCTAGTGTGGTGCTGTGGATTATGCACTGGACGGCATGATTGGTTTGAACTGTAAGGTTTGTAGTTCAAATCCCCTCACTGCTCCTCAGAAACCCTATACAGGGTCACTATGAGTCGGAACTGACTCTAAGGCACTCAAAAACAACAATGTTGAGGACAGGGAGTGTGGTGGCTCCATAGGATAAACACTGGACTGCAAAACACATGGCTCGTAGTTCAAACCCACCAGCTACTCCATGGGAGAAAGGGGAAGCTTTCTGCTCTCGTAAAGATTTAAAGCCTCAGAAATACTTCACAATGTTAAGTACAGCAGGCAAGGTAATTCTTCCTAGGGTTCTCAATAGACATGACAGTCAGTCTATTCTAAGGCCCATGGAAAATCTAGACTGTTCATCCTCAGGATTGCTATGTCTTACTGAGGTTTTGCCCCAGGGCTCCCTGTAGGATGGCAGGCAGCACTCCCTCAATCCAGATCTCTAGTAGGATACTGTTTTTCAGCTCTACAAATGTAAGTGACACTATGAGTGTGCCAAGAAATGTCGAAGACAAGCTGCAGAATCTCCTCAGGTTCCTCCTATGTATGCAATGCGTCAGGACAGTAACAACACCTAACACTGAGTGAGCAAGTGCTCATTCTGCCCCAGACGTTGTCTAAATGCTTCACGTTAATGCAACTAGTCAAGACTCTCAATAACCCACGGGATACATATCATGGTGATCGCATTTTATGGTTGAGAATTTGTCAGGCTGATGAAAATCAAAGACCACAGCTTTCACTATGGGTTGTGCTTCAATATAAGGAAAACAAAAATCCTTACCACTGGACCAATGAAAAATATCCATATAAATGGAGAAAAGATAGAAATTGTCAAAGACTTCATTTTGCTCAGATCAGTCATAAATACTTATGGAAGCAGCAGTCAAGAAATCAAATGACATATTGCTTTAGGCAAATCTGCTGCACAAGACCTCTTTAAAGTGTTGAAGAGCAAAGATGTCAGCTTGAGGACTAAGGTGCGCCTACCCAAGCCATGGTATTTTCAATCACCTCATTTGCAAGTGAAAGTTGGACAGTGAATACGGAAGACCGTAGAAGAGTTGATGCTTTTGAGTTATGGTGTTGGAGGAGAATATTAAAAGTACCATAGATGGCCAAAAGAACAAACCAATCTGTGTTGGAAGACGTGAAGCCAGAGGGCTCCTTTGGAAGCCTGGGTGGACAGACTTCGTCTCTCTTACTTTGGACATATCATCAGGAGGGACCAATCCCTGGAGAAGGATGCTTGGTAAAGTGGAGGGTCAGCAAAAAAGAGGGAGACCCCCAATGAGATGAATTGACACAGTGGCAGCCACAGTGAGTTCAAATGTAGCAGCCTCACAGGATGGTGTTGGACCAGGTGGTGTTTCACTCTGTTATAACACAGGGTTGCTATGAGTTGGAATTGACTTGATGGCATTTAACAACAACAACAACAACAACCAGCACATGAATAATAACATTCAGGGCAGTTGTAGAGCACTTCCTGACTTATTATTCCACAGAGATACTTTATAAAGTGGTGTTGGACTCAGCATCCGCAGTGTGCCAACAAGGTGAAGACAGACTACGCGACCTGCCCAAGGCAAGTCTATCAGTGAGAAGCCGACCCTGTGGTTCCAGATCTCAGATTTTTTATACGCCAATGCTTTTGAATTTTGGAGTTGGAGAAGATATTGAAAGTACCATGGGCTGCCAAAAGAACACAGATCTCCAAGATATTGAAAGTACCATGGACTGCCAAAAGAACCAAAAGATCTGTTTAGGAAGAAGTGCAGCTAGAGTGCTCCTTGGAGGCCAAGATGGCCAAACTTCGGCTCTCATACTTTGGACACATTGTCCGGAGGGACCAGTTGCTGGAGAAGGATATCATATTTGGTAAGGTGGAGGGTCAGAGAAAAAGAGGAAGACCTTCAGAGAGATGCACTGGCCAAGTGGCAGCATCGATGGACTCAAGCATGGCAACAGTAGTGAGGTTGGCCCAGGATCGGGCAGTGTTTTGTTCTGCTGTGCATAAGGTAGCTATGGGTTGGTACCGACTCGATGGCACCTAACAACAACAACAACCTGTGCCACAAAGTGGGTACTTTGTCCTTCCCCAGCTCTCTCTCCAGGGTCTGCAAAGTCACATTACACAAGAAAAGCTACATTATAGTCACTGCTGAGTTGATTCTGATTCACAGAGACCCCATGTGTGTGTCAGAGCAGAACTGGATCAGCCTTTCTTCCAAGGTGCCTGTGAATGGATTGGAACTACCAATGTTTCAGACAGCAGCTGAGCATTTAACTGTGTTTGCCACTCGGGAACTGTCGGGGTCTGCCCTCGACATAGTTGTGTTGTTCACGAGTGTTTGGTTCACGAGGAGGGGAGATCCAGCGGCGATAGGGATAGCGAAAGAATACACAGACAAACAGAAGACGGGAGACAATGAGGCACCCCAAAGCCAGGGTGGATACATCACTGGTGGGCAGGCTTGGGACTACAGGCATCATGGCCTCTGCAGGCAGCGACTCACTGCCCTGCAATCTTTACTGCATGCCTTCCAACCCGTAATGCACTGCTATCTTTACTCCATGCCTTCCAACCAGTAATGCACACCTGGGGAGGCTCGGGCCTCTGCTTTATTTAGGGGAGGAGTTTCACACCAAGCTGGGAGGGACTAAAACAGGATACAGCTAACATCAGTAATTTTCCAGACATTCAGGTAACTTTACATTGTACTTCACTGGTTCGAATCCCAGGCCAGCAACTTGAATTCTCAGGCCCAATTAACATATCTATAGCCCCTGAGGTCAGTTGGGGGAAGGTGAGAGTTCTGCAGGAGATGCCCAGGTGAATGGGCTGCACCTGGAAAAGGAATTAGGGAGGATGGGTTCTTTGTCTATAGAACAAAGAACCGAGAAGTAGCTAAGATATTTTTAGTTAATCCTTTGGAGAAAGGTTTAACCTTGCAACCTTTAGTCTTGGCTTTAGGAAAATATCACATTTATCTGTGGATTTTCAAAGGCTCCGTGTATTAATTTAATATATATAACTGAATATTAAGATGAAAGCAATTTGCCATTAACTGCCAGTGGCCTCATTTGTTACACTTGGGCCCATAGGGCCTCGAACCTCTGACCAGTCTTACACGGTCCGCAACAGGGAACTGCAACAGCTATGCTTGTTGTTAGGTTCTGTCGTGCCAGTTCGGACTCATAGGGACCCTGTGTACAACAGAACAAAGCATTGCCTGGCGCTGCGCTAGCCTCAAAATGATTACATTTGAGTTCACTGCTGCTGCCACTGTGTCGATCCATTTCCTTGGGGATCTTCCTCTTTTTCACTGACCCTCCACTTTATCAACCATGATTTCCTTCTCCAGGGATTGGTTCTAATAGCATATCCGAAGTATGAAAAGTCGAAGTCTTGCCATTCTGACTTCTAAGGAACATTCTGGTTGCACTTCTTTCAACACAGATCAGTTTGTTTTTCTGGCAGTCCATGGTAACTTTAATATTCTTCTCCAACACCATAACTCAAATGCATCAATTCTTCTACGGTCTTCCTTATTCATTGTTCAACTTTCATATGCAAATGAGGTGATTGAAAATCCCATGGCTTGGGGCAGGCGCACCTTAGTC